GCTCCGCGGCTTCAGCGTGAACTAAGAGATTCGTGTTCACGGAGAGGGTGGTTCAGGTGATCAGTCTGATCCGGCCTACGCTTGCGATTCTTCCTTCGATATTCTGCAAGTGAGGTCACCTCCAAATTGGGACAGTAGTATTGCCGTCTTGGGCCCCTACTACCCAAACCTGTCAATACTCCCAAATTTGGGCTCGGATCTTACTTAACAGATTCTTTTGCTTGGCACTCAGTTTCTTTTCTTGACTATTCTAATTACTTTGGGGAATTTCCATATCACTGAATTGACTTTTATTTCCAATCTTGTCAAAGGCCCTAGGGTTTGATCTCTCGGAATATGGGATATTTGCTTAAGGGTCATTTTTATGTTAACTTTGTTAAAGGCCTCTAAAGATAAAATTCAAGAGTTAAGACTTTGAGCGAAGTCAGGACCTTCCGCAGGTAGACCAAAACAATGGTCTAGATAAGAAGATAAATCTTGTCTTCTTCCTAAACTGGCTAATGGGCAACTATTACAAACATTCAGACTAGTACATTCAATATGACAAGGGCCACCGAGTAATATTGCAGTCACAAATGCCCAACATCTTCTTACGCCTGGTTTTCGATGATGCACGCTCAGCGGATAAAAGGCAGGTGCTGAGAAGAAGACTGAATGGATGAACCCCGATTCCCCCCCACCCCCAGACCAAATATCCCCCGGGAGCACAGCTGAGTGACTGATAGGTAGGACAGTGTTGGGGGGGGGGGTGCTTGAAGGGCCAGTTGCAATTCCCTTCAAGCGGCATCAGGGTGGTTGCAGCAGGGAGCCATTAACAACTATTCTTGTGGACGGTGGGTGATCTGGGGACAATTTGGGGCAGGCTACAGGTGTCCCAGGTGCTGAGTTAGGAAAGGTCACCTGATGCGGAGGAGTCTGGGCATGGGGAGCCCTGGGCACAGCTTCCCTGCCCTAGCCCTGGGCATGTCCCCCCAGCCGAGCCGGGCTCTCCTGTGCCAGCCTCCCCCGCAGCCGATGTGTGCAGGGCCTGGCGCCGGCTGCATAGACTCTGGCTCAAGGTGCATCAGTGAGCCCTCAAGCGCTGGGGGAGGCATCGGGGTCACAGGGCCGAACGCATCCTTCCCAGGAGGTGCTGAGGGGCTCATGAGCACCAGCACCTGCACCTGGGCCCTGGCACTCGCCACCTTGCTGGGAGCAAGCCGGGGCAGGCGCCTACTGAACTGGTGCATGGCTCGGCGGGGGTCAAGGCCAAGGGTGAGCAGTGAGCCCCCCACTCAGACCCAGGCTCCCCCACAGCGCCAAGGCCAGGGGCTGGCAGAGAGGCTGCATGGACTAGTGGTGGGTGAGCTAGGATCTCATCCTGACTCCACCACCGATCTTTCAGGTCTCCGCTGGCCAGTCCCTTTTCCTCCTTGTGCCTCAGTTTGCCCATCTGCACAAGGGGTACAACAACCCTGATCTCTGCGATAGCTGCTGAGGACAGGAGCTCTGTGATATAGACACCCGGACTGCGGCTCAGCCAGAGCAGGGTCTTCATCCCCAGCCCAGGCCCCCTCACCCCCAGCCCACCTGCCCGTCCCCAGGCACCAGCTCGAGTCTGTGTTGGTTTGTACAACCCGTTTATTGGCTGAACCCTGCAGGCAGAGCGCGGGCCGGGCCGCAGCGGGCGGCTCCGGGGAGCTCGGGGCATGGCAGCAGCTTCACAGTCTCAAACAGGTTTGCAAACAGTCCTGGGAGAGGCAGTGACCTGGGAGCAAGGCAGCGAGGAGGCGTTTGGTGCTGGGAGCTGCACAGACACCTGGTCCCGGCTCCCGGCTCCGACAGCCATGGCTCGGAGGGTAGCACAGCCTGGTCCCCCGGCCCGGGGCTGATGACTCCCCGCGTGGTCCTTGCTCCCGCTGGCTGCAGGTCTTCCAGCCTGATCGAAGACTTTGCAACCCCGTGCTGGGCTGGGCAGGGCGTCAAAGGGGGCCAGTAGCCCCGGAGCGCTCGGCGAGGACCTGGTGCTAAGTGTCCGCCACAAGGACCCTGCGCTCACGAACCCCGCGGCAAGCGGGAAGGTGCCTGGTTCAGCCCCACCGGGGCCTGTCTGCAGGGATCGGAGCCCGTCTTGCCAGGGTCAGATGCCACGCTGGACTGGGGATGCCCATGCCTCCACGGCGCTGCCTCCGTCCTGGGTGTGCAACGCAGAGGGTCTGGGGGCTTTGAGCGGGAGATCTGGGGGCAGGTGCAGGAGGCTTCAGGACACGGGGGGAGATGCAGTCGTGGCGCGGGGCAGGCAGAGATCAGGCAGAGGATGTGGCACAGGTCACAGACGTTCACTGCCGGCCTGGCTCTGTGGGGCGGGGGGAAGTGTCCTGGGGGGAGGAGAAGAGCAGGGAGGGGTTACAGGGGTGCCGCGGCTTCCCCCAGATACCCACCCTGCATCCCACGACATGAGCCCCGGGCCAGGATGACAGGTACAGGAGATGCCCCCCTCGAGCCCTGCTCGCAGGTGCCGGCCCCAGCACCAGCAAGGGGCCGCAGGGCTGGTCCGAGACCCCGGCCAGGTGCCCCCTCCCCTCCCAGTACCGGGGACCAAGTGCTGAGTCCCCCCACCACTTCCACCCCACCGCCCCAGCTCAGCTGTGCCCACCTCTCACGCCCTGTTCTGCTTCCCCCGGGACTTGTTGCCCCACTTCTGCTTCCTGAGCTGGCGAAGGGGCTGCAGCTTCCCATCCAGCTTCTTCATCAGGCCAGTGACCCAGGGTGCGTCCGGAGGGGCGCACAGATTCTTGTCCTTGTAGGTGGTGAACCTGTGCGGAGGCAGAAGGACAGTGGTGATGAGGACCAGGGACCCAGAGCCCTTCCCTGCTCCACTGCCCAGGGCTGAGCCCCAGGTCAGGTCTCCCCTTTCTGCACGGTGCCCCCGGTACTCACACCACAGCCCGGACAGAGCACCCAGACTCGGGGGTCTGGATGCGGTAGGACTTCACGATCCGGTTCGGGATGGCCTTCAGGCCAAGCTTCAGGCAGCAGTCGGCTGCAGGTTCAGAGCCTGGGGGCAAACAGAGGGGCCGGGGGGCTCGGTTAGATGCAGGGAAGGGGACGCACTTCTGCCCCTGCTTCCCAGCCCCAGCCCCGCTGGACACACAGCAGCCTTGGGGCTCCGTGACTGCAGCCCCTTTGTCAGCGCCTAGATGGGGGAGGTGACCGGGTCCATGCAGTGCCAGTGGCGGAGGCCAGGCCAGTTGACATGTTGCCCCAGCAGGAACAGTGGTTGGAGCCCCCCGGACCCCCAGCCATCACCCCAAGCCCTGTGGGGCCTGGTGGCGCTGTGCCCTGCTTACCCTGGGTGTGGAGGCCGAGGACAGCCAGCAGCAGCAGGGGCAGGAGGAGGCGAGGATCCATGGTGCGGCTGAGAGCAGTCAGGACACAGTTCTGGCCCTGGCCCTCCTGTGCTGGTTTTTATGCTGGGCCAGAGCATGAGGCCCCAGCCCCTCTCCCCTCCTCCCACTGACCTCTTCCTGGTTGCAGTGGGGGGGGTCGGGGGCTGGGATTCCCCTTTGCACGAGCTCCCTGCACACCGAGGGGCAAACAGCCCAGAGCCGTGCGAGGGAGGCTCAAGGGGCCGGGCCAAGGGAGGATCCAGCCCCCCAGGCCCTGCAGCCTGCGAGAGTGGGGGGCAGGAGTAGAGCCCCCTTTGCACGCCTGGAGCTTCGTGTCCCCTGGAGCAGAGCCCAGCCTCAGCCCCGTGGACCCAGGAGTCAGGTGCAGGAGCTGCATCTCCACGCCGGGCTGGGCCAGAGGCTGGACACCCCTCGGGGAGCCCTGGGCACAGCCCCGCTACACCGGCCCTGGGCATGTCTCCCACACCCAGCCAGGCTCTCCCATGGCAGCCTCCCCCCCTGCGCTGGCTGCACAGGCCCCTGGTGCAACAACCCCATGCCCAGCTGCCTTATCCGTGCACAGGTCCAGACAGCCTTGGCCTTCCCCTGGCTCCTGTCCCCGGGGCTGGCCCTGCCAGCCGGCTCCTGGGCTCTGCACCAAAGCTCCCCCTAGAACCTGCCAGGCCACGGGCTGCAGACTCCCCGGGACCCGGCTCCCCTGCCCAGCTCCAGCCCTGCCACTCCTTCCGCTGCAGGAGCTGGCACAGAGCCCGGGCTGCCCTAGTGTAGACAACCCTCCTGGGGTGGGAGCAGGGCCATGGGGAAGAGGTGTGTGAGGTGGATGGGTGGACAGGCCTAGGGACAAGCAGACAGACGGGCCTGTAGACTTGGCCTTATCCCCGCTCTCCCCCATGCCAGGAGCTGCACGATGCCCGCTTGAGGAGCCGTGCTGTCCCGTGCCTGGAAAGCCCCTGGCTGGGGCCGTGTCCTTGTGGCTTGGAGCACATCCATGCTGACCCGCGCCTGGCGCTGGGCCCGGCTGGAACGTGGCCCGTGCAGGAGGGAAGTGCTGAGGGAAGTGCTGAGCATGTGTGAAAGGCTTGGCCTTGCCATTCTCACCTGGCACGTGAGGCGTGCACAGGCAGGGGGTCAGGGGGCAGGCTGTGGGGGCAGAGGAGCCAGGGGCAAAGAGGCAGCGTGAACACAAAGATCCAGGCCCAAGACAGAGCCGCCTAGGCTGGTGGGGGGGAGCGGCTGGGTGCACGTGGGGTGGGGGGGCTGCAAGTCAGCTTGTGCCCAGGGCATGGGGAGCAGGGGCTGTGCCCACACGCCAGGATATGCAACTGCAAGGTTGTGTGCATGTGTGCACGCATATGCATCTGTATATGGGCATGTATAGGTACCTGCAGCAGTGTGCAGGTATGTGCAAATGTGTGCGTGTGTTCTTCACTATTTGTGCATGCATACATACATGCATGCAGGGTGTGCGCATGTGCATGTGTCCATATATGCTTGTCTATGTGTGCCTGTGTACGTATATGCATTTGTGTATCTGCATGTGCATGTATGTGTGTTTATGTGTGTGTGTGTGCTTGTATGTTTGTGTGTACTGTACATGTGCACATGTCCATTGGCTTGTACGTGTGTATATATCATGCACCAGTGTGAGCACCAGTGTCCGGCCCCGGGGGCCGAGGGGAGCCTGGAAGGCTGCAGCCGAGCTCTCCCCCCTGCAGCACTGCCGGACCCCTCCTGCACCCTCCCCTTGCCCCAGCTCTGGTGCAGGAAGGCTGGGACCTGCCTCCTGCCCCGTGCCCCCATGCTGCCTCCTGCCTGGGGAAGCTGCGGCCTTGCTAGGCCAGACCTGGGGGCATCTGAGGTCACCCCAGGGTCAGAGGTCATCCAGAGTCCCCAGCGGGGCAGGGGTCATCTGGGGAAGTTTGTCCCCCGTGCAGGGCTCTTGTGCACCTCTCAGGTGCCTGGTGCTTTGTGGTCCCTGGCCACCTCCACGATGTTGCGGCGATGCTGGTGGGGGCCTCACCCCAATGCCAAATGCTGTCAGCTCCCTGCCAGCCCTGGACACTGGCACCCCCTGCAACCCAAGCACAAGCAGCGCTGGGTGCCCCCAATCCACCCAGCTGTGCCCTGGCTGTCAGCTGAGCAAGGGGCTGCATGTTGCCACCTCGGCTCCATGAGCCCCGGGATCAGCCCAGAGACCAGTGTCCGGCCCCGGGCAGGGGCAGCACAGGGGCAGGGGCAGGGGCAGGGGGGATTTTCCATCCCAGTTTCCTGCTTCCCTGAGGATGCATCCAGGAACCGCTGGCAGCCTCAGCCCCCCCGGCCCCAGCTCGCTGGAGACCCGCAGCCTCCTTCCCTCATACCCACCCCCGGGGGCCCGGGA